CCTGGCGGAGGCTGCCGGGCGGCCGCCATGCGATCAGGCAGTGCGCTGACCGGCCCGGCCGGTCGGCCCCTTCTGGGTCCTCCCTTTGCAGCCCGTGCGGGGCCGTCTCGGAGACCCCGCGCCGACGGCTGCTCAAACATCAGGGTGAGTTTCTCACAATGTAGCAATTTCTCTTTAAATCTCTTAACTCTCTCTACCTGCGAGTCGGGGCTGTGACAGGGCGCAAAAGCGAGGGGGGAGTGGGGGTTGGCGGCGAGGGTGTGTGTGGGGGGAGCCGGAGCCGGGGCCGAACCCACCCCCCCGACACTCACACACTCAGCCCCCCAACCGGGGCGCAGCGCCCGCTGCCTCTTTTTTTGCTCGGCGCCCACCACCACCAGCAGCCCCCCCCACCCCCCGCGTCTCTCCCACCATTACCGCTGCCCCGATCCTGCGGGGACCCCCTTTCCCTGGCTCCCCTGCCCAAACCCGGCGCCCGGTGCCTCCCTGGCCCTCCCGCCGGCTGCCGGGGATACAATGGAGCGGCGAAAAAACGAGACCTAACGTTCCACGGGGGGAGGGGCGGGGAGACCCCCCTCCCCCGGCTTCGGCCCCCCTCCTCTCTCCGTACTCCCCGCCTTTCGGGGAAGAAGAGGGCAATGGGGCAGCGGATGGTGATTTCCTGGCCGGAGGCGGCGAACCTTCATCTCCGCTCTCCTTCGTCCCCAACGCCCCCTCCCCAAATCCCTCCCGGGGTGCCGGGGAGAAACGGGGCCTCGGGCTAGCCGGAGAGGGATGGATGTGGAAGGAGGCCACTGGGGTTCCCCCTCCTCACCGCCCCTAAACAATGAAAGGAGTTGACTTGGTCCCCCCACCCCCCAGCGATGAAAGGAGTTGACCCCCTCCCCTGCTAGCTGACTGGTCCTGGAGGGGCCCGTGGCAAGGCGGTGGAGGAGGGAGGTGAGCCTTACCCCTGTCACCTCCCAAGATTTGGGGCGGCCCCCCATCTCCACCCCCTCGGCCTGGGAATGGGAGGCACCAGGCCCAGCCCGGGCACTGCGCTCGGGTGGTGACCTTTAGACAAAGGCAACCCTTTCCCTGGGGTGAGCCGGGACGAGTCGGGCCCGCGGCCTTCCCGGGCCCCTGCGGAGGGCGGCCTGGCCGCGAGCACCGGAGGGAGGGATGGAGGAGGGAGGAGGGATGGAGCCATCTGGTTTTCCCATCCCTCGCTGTCTCTGGGCCACTTCCCGGGGCCCTGTCATGGGCGGCTGCGGGGAGACAAGGGACGAGGGGCTGCCCAGGCCTTGGTCGGCGGCCAGTGGAGAACAGTCCGGGGTGAGGAGCTGCGGGAGGGCTTGGGCTCAGGCGCCCGCGGTGATTGGAAGGCACCGCGGCTCCTTCCTCTCCGCGCCCCTTTGTTTTGCTTTGTGGTTCTGAGCTGCTGAACTTCCCGGGAGGTGGGGTCAGAGGCCGCAGTGTCAGCTCTCCCGGGGAGGCCCGGGTGACAGGTCCCAGTCCGTGGCTGTTCCAGTCTGTGCCCAAGCTCAGGTCTGGACCGGGGCCCCTTTTGTCATCCAGCCCTCCTATAGTGTAATAACAAGCTAGGGATCTACCGACTGTTTACATTACCCTCACACCTCCCTTTCGTGGTTTGTAGAAACACCCAAGATACAAGGCTTGGGATTTAGGATAAGCCCCTTCTGTGCTGCTCTTCACCTGTCCCCTCATCCCTGGGGCAGCATGAGGGGGACTCCGTCAACCTTGACCAACAGAGGTGATGGGAGATGGACTGGTCAGGGATCACCCCTCTTCCCATTGCCTTGTATCCAGTGGGACTTTGGGGGCATGTTTACCTCTTGCACCCTCACCCATAACTCCCTCTTTCCTAGAGGCAGGAAATAACATCTCTATGCAGGAAGTATCATGGTTTGGCTACTGCTAATTGCCTTACTCACTGGTCACAACTGAGGGAGGAAGTAGGGAATGATATTATTCCTATTTTGCTGTTAGTCTCATGAAGACTCAGCGAGGTTAAGTGACTCTTCCAGGACCACACAACCCTTATTCATAACCACCTTAAGTTTCTCCAACTCAAAACTGCTAGCTTCTCTTTTATTCTTCTTTGACTTCAGTTGGCCTGGGTCTTAAGTATAGTTAAAACCTAGAAGGGGCTATCTGAGCCATTTCCCCTGAGGCTGGGGCAGACAGTTGGAGATGTGTGGAGCAGGAGAAGGTGGGTCTGGGCTCAGGCCCAGGAGCAGGCCCCACAGATATCCTGACTGTTCCCTTGAGCTGGCTTGCTGCTACTTAGTCCTGATAGGAGAGACTGGGGTTTGGGGGCCAGAGCCATTACCCTGCTCTGTGATTCTCCAGGGCCTGTCTCCCCTTGGCCTGGGTATCATATCCACTGTCCTGCTCTGTCATCTTAAGACAGGTCATTGAACTTTCTCATCCTTAGTTTCCTCATCTGCAGGTGGGTATAATGATAAGTTCCCTTCACTGACCTTGAGGTGGGTGAAAGTGTTATTCAAACACGTTAGTTTTATTTCTTATTCAGCAGACAGGCCTATGACACCCTGTTAGGGTGGGGTGGAATGGGAGGTGTGTGCTGGACTAGTGTGAATAGCAGAAGGCATCTACTCTGGAGAAACTTCCCATGAGCATGTTGGGGAGGCCGATTATAAATCGGTAAACTGCAAGTAAGCGTCTGTGGCCACCCCTCCATTCCCTAAGTCTCTAAACTGGGACACTACTACTTCTTTGGTGCTTATTGATACTGAGTAAACATGGGATGGGTACTGGTGGAGATGGTCTTTTGGGGGCAGTTCTTCCAGGAAGTTAGCTGAGATAGGTGATCTTGCCATTTTACAGAAAAGGGAACTGAGTCCAGGGAAGCTTGTTCCTTGGCTGAGATGGGACTACAACTTACACTGCAGGGACTTGGGAGCATGCAGCGAGCCTCATATTTACCAGCAGAACTGTGGAGACCCCTCTTCCTCCAGCTCCCCCTCCCCCAGATGTCCTTTCTGTGCCTTCCTGTGATGAGAGGAATAGGTCATAATAATACCTGGGTGGGGGGCCAGGAGGAGAGGCAGGAGGGGACACACAAGTTTTTCTTTACTGTTTTCCTGAAAGTAGGAACTGATTTGTTTGAAGGGGAAGCATGAGTAAGGCCCTAGAGGGACAGGCCCAGGCCCCGCCCCCTCCCTGCTGACTTCCTTCCCAGAGGCCTCTGGGGCCTTCTCCAGTCTTCCCTCAGGAAGTGGGGGGCTTCTCCCCTGCCCCTCCAAGACACTATGGAAGGACCTACTGGGTCAACACCAGGCCTTGGGGCCTGTCCAGAGGTGATGTGGGGTTTTCCTCTTCCTGGGGGCCACCTTTTAGCCTCAGGTCCAGCCATCAGCAGACTTCCTGCCAGCCTTCCCAGCTTCCCAGCTCCCCAGCTCTCTCTTGACTCCTGCTCTCAAGAATGCAGAGGGCTGCCTGGGGGGGGGGGGGAGTTAATTGGAAACAGGAAAGCAGGCATTCCTTTTCAGCCAGCCTGGGCTGGGAAAGCAGCAAGGGGCTGCCTTCTTACCCCCTCCTGCCCCTGCAGGGGAGAGGGGTGGAGGGCATGATGATCTTACCCTGATTTCTTAGGGGTCTTCCCCCTCCCCCACACCAAGCACCCTCCTTCTACTGAGATCAGACATGCCCCCTCCAACTGTTATAGGGTACCCCAGTGTGAATTGGGTTGCCTGTCTGTGGGTCTTCACCCTTGCGCTTACGATTCATTCGTATTATGGACACACTCAAAAGGTTAAATAATGGATTTATTTATAAGGAGAAAGGTAAAGGAATAACCCAGGGAAAGAGGTAGAGAAACATAGGTTAACTGGGATGTCCTACCAGTTCTGCTGACTTGGACTCCACCAGCACACTGAAAACCAATTGAGAGCCAAAACGATCAGCTGTGAACCACCAGGTCCCCCCCCCCAGCCCACACGTCCGGTTTTATCCCAACCTGGCTGCTCAGCTCCGCCCTCACGTCCCGGCATGCTTCTTCTTGGTACTGATGGGATTTGGAGTTCCAGCATCTGGAGTGGGGGCGGAGTCCATGAAACCTGTACCTGTTACACAACCACCCTCAGAATGAATTGCCCCCCAATCCTTCTCCCTTTCCTATCAGAATTTGCCCTCTTCCCCCTAAGGGTACAGGGCCTGCCTGTGTTGGCTCTGTAGCCTCAGATCTGTCATACTAGCGATACCCCTGGGGAAATGTTTGGTTGAGTTGTCCCCAAGGATTGCCTTCTCATTCCTTCCTCAGGATTCTCTTCTGCCTAGGGTACCACCGTCAGAGCCCTGTCCCCGTTGACTGCAGCCTTTGTGTCTGTGACAAGCAAGTTCCCCCAAGGAGAGAATATTTCCAAGGCATTCTAGTTTGGTGACAATTAGTTTTGTGTACAAGTTTGTGGAGGGGGAGCTATTGGCACGAGAGGATGCCTTTGTTTCTTTAATTGTTCCCAGTTAAACTTCTTGAAGACCTACTGTGTGCCAGCACCCTGGGGCTTCCTTCTGATGTTGAGACACCCCACAACCCCCCAATAGGAGGACAGAGAAATGTCGACTTTAGGGCTAGAATAGCCGCTAGGGAATTTGACTGATTCTGCCTGGGTGGTCTGAAAAGGCATCAGGAAGAAGCAACTTCTTTTTCCTCTTTTATTTTTAGGGGATACAGGCACATGAGACAATTTCAGAACACTCGGAACATCTCACCCTTTGGCCACCCTGATGTTCTTGGTCCCCCAGCCGGCCTCACAGGGCTAGCTCCTCACCGCTGCTCTTCCATGCACACACTTTGAGAGACATGTGTCTACCTTTAAACATACTTATTTTGCACGGATGATAGTGTGTTCTTCTCATTTTCTTGCACCTTGCTTCTTTCGCTGCATACCCTGGGAGAGCACTATACATGAGGGTTTCCTGCACCTTGTTCTTGCCTGTGTGGTATTCCGCAGTGTGGGCAAAGCTGTGTTTCTGTAGCTTACATGGATGTGAATATATCCCAGATATTTCTACCTGCAGAACTAAAAGGTGACATGTGTTATTTGGAAATAGATATGCCTGTGGATAAGCTCCTGGGAAGAGGAATTGCTGGATTAGTCTCTTGATCTTTTTAAGGAGGC